AGATAGCCACAACATACCAGATATTTTTGTTTTCATCCAGGAGTATCTGGACAAATTGTTGTGGTTTTTGGGTGAAATTTGAACAAAAAACCACTGTGAAAGTGGTTTTGGAGAAAAGCACAATCTTTCTGTTTGGCAAATGCATCCCATGTCATGTTTAGAAACAGAAATATCATGTTTAATCAGATTTCTGAAGCCTTCTGCCTAGAAAATGTGAATGTTTGGAGGATTTGACCCCATGTGGAACCAATTAGCGTTTGCCAGCAGAAAACAAAAAGTGTCATGCTAAAATGCATTCAAAACTGTAATATCAGAAGAGAATGTCCAGAAAACACAAACAAACAGAGAGGCTGTAGCAAGGTCTGGGATTGAGATAGCCACAACACACCAGACATTTCTGCTTTCATCCCAGCATATCCAGACAAATTGTTGTGGATTTCGGGTGAAATTTAACCAAAAAAATCACCGTGAAAGTGGTTTTTCAGAAAAGCACAATCTTTCTGTTCAACAAATGCATCACATGTGATGTTTACAAACACAACTATCATGTTTTCTCGGATTTCTGAAGTTGTCTGCCTAGAAATCTCGAATGTTTCCAGGATTTTACTCCATGTGGTACTAATTAGCGTTTGCCAGCAGAAACAGAAACTTACATGTTTAAATGCATTCAAAACCGTAAACTGCATTGATAATGTCCAGAAAACACAAACATACACAGAGGCTGTAGCAAGATCTGGGATTGAGATAGCCACAACACACCAGATATTTTTGTTTTCATGTAGGAGTATCTGGACAAATTGTTGTACAATTCGGGTGAAATTTAAAAAAAAAAAACAAAAAAAAAAAAAAACACCAAAAAGTGGTTTTGGAGAAAAGCACAATCTTTCTGTTTGGCACATGCATCCCATGCCATGTTTTGTTTTTTTTTTTTTTTATCTTTTATTTAATGAATATAAATTTCCAAAGTACGTCTCATGGGTTACAATGGCTTTCCCCCCCATACCGTCCCTCCCCCATGCCATGTTTACAATCACAAATATCATGTTTTCTCGGGTTTCTGAAGCTTTCTGCCTAGAACACCGAATATGTGAAGAATTGGACTACAGGTGGAACCAATTACCGTCTGTGAGCAGAAAACCAAAAGTGTCATGCTAAAATGCATTCAAAGCTGTAAAGTCCTTAGAGAATGTCTAGAAAACACAAAGAAACACAGAGGCTGTAGCGTGATCTAGGATTGAGGTAGCCACAACACACCAGATATTTTTGTTTCCATGCAGGAGTATCTGGACAAATTGTTGTGGTTTTTGGGTGACATTTAAGGAAAAAATCACCGTGAAAGTGGTTTCAGAGTAAAGGACAATCTTTTTGTTCAGCAAATGCATCCAATGTCATGTTTACAATCACAAATATCATATATTCTTGGGCTTTTGAAGCTTTCTGCGTAGAAAACTCGAATGTGTGGAGGATTTGATTCCATGTGGTACTAATTAGCTTTTGCCAGCAGAAAACAAAAAGAGTCATGCTAAAATGCATTCCAAAGCATAAAGTCCGTAGAGAATCTCCAGAAAACACAAACAAACACAGAGACTGTAGCAAGTTCTGGGATTGAGATAGCCACAACACACCAGATATTTTTTATTTACATCCCGGCAAATCCTGAAAAATTGTTGCTGTTTTTAGGGGAAATTTAACCAAAAAATAACGGTGAATGTGGTTTAGGAGAAAAGCACAATCTTTCATTTTGGCAAATGCATCCAATGTCATGTTTACAATCACAAATATCATTTATCTCAGGTTTCTGAAGCGTTCTGCCTAGAACACCGATTTGTGAAGGATTTGACTCCAGGTGGAACCAATTAGCGTTTGCCGGCAGAAACAGAAACTTACATGCTAAAATGCATGCAAAACCGTCAAGTCCGTAGAGAATGTCCAGAAAACACAAACAAACACAGAAGCTGTAGCAAGATCTGGGATTTAGATAGCCACAGCACACCATATATTTTTGTTTTCATCCAGGAGTATCTGGACAAATTGTTGTGGAATTGGGGGGAATTTAACCAAAAAACCACCAAGAAAGTGGTTTTGGAGAAAAGCATGATCTTTCTGTACGCAAGTGGATCCAATGTCATGTTTACGAACACAAATATCATCCTTTCTCGGGTTTCTGAAGCTTTCTGCCTAGAAAACTCGAATGTGTGTAGGATTTGACACCATGTGGATCCAATTAGTGTTTGCCGTCAGAAAACAAAAACTTACATGCCAAAATGCATTCAAAACCGTCAAGTCCGTAGAGAATGTCCAGAAAACACAAACAAACACAGAGGCTGTAGCAGGATCTGGGATTGAGATAGCCACAACACACCAGATATTTCTGAGTTCATTCCAGCATATCCGGACAAATTGTTGTGATTTTCAGGGGAAATTTAACTAAAAAACAACCGTGAAAGTGGTTTTTCAGAAAAGCACAATCTTTCTGTTCAACAAATGCATCCAATGTCATGTTTACAAACACAATTATGTTTTCTCTGGTTTCTGAAGCTTTCTGCATAGAAAACTCGAATGTGTGGAGGATTTGACTCCATGTGGAACCAATTAGCGTTTGCCGGCAGAAAACAAAAACTTACATGCTAAAATGCATTCAAAAACTTAAAGTCCATAGAGAATGTCCAGAAAACACAAACAAACACAGAGACTGTAGCAAGATCTGGGATTGAGATAGCCACAACACACCAGATATTTTGGTGTTCATCCAGGAATATCTGGACAAATTGTTGTGGTTTTTGGGTGAAATTTAACAAAAAAACTCTGTGAAAGTGGTTTTGGGGAAAAGCACAATCTTTCTGTTCACAAATGCGTCCCATGTCATGTTTACAAACACAAATATCATGTTTTCTCAAATTTCTGAAGCTTTCTGCCTAGTACACCGAATGTGTGAAGAATTTGACTCCAGGTGGAACCAATTACAGTCTGTGAACAGAAAACAGTGTCATTCTAAAATGCATTCAAAACCATAAAGTCCGTAGAGAATTCCAGAAAACACAAAGAAACAAGCAGGCTGTAGCAAGATCTGGGATTGAGAAAGCCACAACACACCAGAATTTTTTGTTTTCATCCAGGAGTATCTGCACAAATTGTTGTGGAATTCAGGTAAATTTAACCAAAAAATCACATTGAAAGTGGTTTTGGAGAAAAGCACAATCTTTCTGTTCAGCAAATGCATCCCATGTCATGTTTACAAATGCAAATATCATGTTTACCCCGGGTTTCTAAAGCCTTCTGCCTAGATATCGCGAATGTGTGGAGGATTTGACTCCATGTGGAACCAATTAGCGTTTGCCGGCAGAAAACAAAAACTTACATGTTAAATGCATTCCAAACCGTAAAGTCTGTAGAGAATGTCCAGAAAACACAAAAAAACCACAGAGGCTGTAGCAAGATGTAGGATTGAGATAGCCATAACACACCAGATATTACTGCGTTCATCCCAGCATATACAGACAAATGGTTGTGGTTTTCAGGTGAAATTTAACCAAAAAATCACCACGAAAGTTGTTTTGGAGAAAAGCAAAATCTTTCTTTTTGGCAAGTGGATCCAATGTTATGTTTACAAACACAAATATTATGTTATCTGGTTTCTGTAGCTTTCTGCATAGAACACATTTTATGTGTGAAGGATTTGCCTCCATGTGGAACCAATTACTGTCTGTGAGCAGAAAATAAAAAGTGTCATGCTAAAATGCATTCAAAACCAAAGTCCATTGATAATATCCAGAAAACACAAACAAACATAGAGGCTGTACCAATATCTGGGATTGTGATATCCACAACACACCAGATATTTCTGCTTTCATCCAGGAGTATCTGGATAAATTCTTGTGGAATTCGTGTGAAATTTAACTAAAAAATCACCATCAAAGTGGTTTTGGAGATAAGCACAATCTTTCTGTTCTGCATCCACTGCACATGCATCCACTGCCATGTTTACAAACACAAATGTCATGTTTTCTCAGGTTTCTGAAGCTTTCTGCCAAAAAAACTCAAATGTGTTGAGGATATGATTCCATGTGGTAACAATTAGCATTTACCATCAGAAAACAAAAACTTACATGCTAAAATGCATTCAAAACCGTAAAGTCCATAGAGAATGTCCAGAAAACACAAACAAACAGAGAGGCTGTAGCATGATCTGGGATTGAGATAGCCACAACACACCAGCTATTTGTTTTTATTCAGGAGTATCTGGCCAAGTTGTTGTGGTTTTCAGGTGAAATTTAACCAAAGAATCACCGTCAAAGTGGTTTTGGAGAAAAGCACAATCTTTCTGTTCAGTAAATGCATCCCATGTCATGTTTACAAAAACAAAAATCATGTTTTCTAGGTTTCTGAAGCTTTCTGCCTAAAAAACTCGAATATGTGGAGGATTTGACTCCATGTGGAACCCATTAGTGTTTGCCGGCAGAAAACAAAAAGTGTCATGCTAAAATGCATTCAAAACCTTAAGGTTCGTAGAGAATGTCCAGAAAACACAAACAAACACAGAGGCTTTAGCAAGATCTGCTATTGTGATTGCCATAACTCACCAGTTATTTCTGTGTTCATCCCAGTATATCCGGATAAATTGTTGTGGAATTCGGGTGAAGTTTAACCAAAAAAATCACCTGTGAAAGTGGTTTTAGAGAAAAACACAATCTTTCTGTTCGGCAAATGCATCCCATGTCTTGTTCACAAACACAAATATCATGTTTTCTAGGGTTTCTGAAGCTTTCTGCCCAGAACACTCGAATGTGTGAAGGATTTGATTCCAGGTGGAACCAATTACCCTCTGTGAGCCGAAAATAAAAAGTGTCATGCTAAAATGTATTCAAAACCAAAGTCCATAGATAATGTCCAGAAAACACAAACAGAAAAGCAAGTGATGCAATTTCAGAGGTTGGTGCGTGAGTCTCAGCAGCTTTGTCCATCTGGCCTGTGGCTCACACCTACCGCCCGCTCGGGACTGTTCAGGTGGTGGGCGCTGATCTGGCAGCAGGGGCCACGGAGCCCGGGGTGGCAGAGACGGCCACAGCCGTGCCGGCGGGCACACTCGCCAGCTTGCCAATACCCTGCGCGATCACGTCCTCAATCTTCTTCCCGTTCAGCTCACTGATGACCTTGTTCAGCCGGTCGTCATCCGCCTCGATGCCCATGCTGTCCAGGATCTTCTTGATGTCTTTGGCGCTGGGCAAGGAGTTGCCCCCGAGGGCGGCCAGCAGAAACTCAAGTCAAAGAATCTTTTGAAAAAAAAAAAAAAAAAACAGTTGTGCTCCATCTGGACCGTCTTATTTAAAACCAAACCTAAATACTCAACAAGTACTACTTGAACACAGTTATGCCTTTAGGAATCCAATGGAGGCAAAGAGGAGGATAATTAAGCTGGAAAAAGAAATTGCAAGCTTGAAAAGAAAAATGAAGACCTGCCTACAGAAAGAACGTAGAGCAACTCGTAGATGGATCCAAGCCACGTGCTTGGTGAAGAATTTAGAAGCAAATAACATATTACCTAAGGGCACATCAGAACACATTTTACCAACTGCCTTAAGTAGTCTTCCTTTGGAGGATTTTAAGATTCTTGAAGGAAAGCAACAAGATAAAACACTGGCAGTTATCTAAATCTAACACAGATGAAGGGCACCTTCACTGAAGTTTAGCTTGCACAGAACTTGATGTCCAATCTTCATTCTTTTTGGAGGCAAAGATATTTATGGTAATTATGCTGAAGCTGATTATTAATAAAGCTTTACTTGAAGTACCATTACTGTATAACTTATAAAGACTTGAATACAAAAAAAAATTTATGAGGCTTTTATTTGAAAATTATTGGAAGTGCCTTACGTTAGAATTACATTCTGAAAATTTTTTGCTAGGAAATTATTATGTTTGCGAGATGTTTTGTATTTATTTAAGCTACTGTTAAAGAACAGCAGGTAACACATAATATGTGTAATTTATATTAGAAAAAGAATCCTTGTCCAGTTCCAAAGTTGGAAAATTAAATTCTAAATAAGATGCTAAGTAGTAGCTAACCAACATTAAATAGTGATCTTAAAACTGTTGGGGTTTGGGCCGGAGCCGTGGCTCACTTGGTTAATCCTCTACCTGCAGCACCGGCATCCCATATGGGCACTGGGTTCTTGTCCATTTGCTCCTGTTCCAGTCCAGCTCTCTGCCGTGGCCCGGGAAGGCAGTGGGGGATGGCCCAAGTGCTTGGGCGCCTGCACCCATGTGGGAGATCTGGAAGAAGTACCTGGCTCCTGGCTTTGGATCAGCGTAGCTCCGGCTGTGGTGGCCATTTGGGGGGTGAACCAATAGAAGGAAGACCTTTCTCTCTTATCTCCCTCACTGTCTAACTCTACCTGTCAAATAAAAAAAAACTGTAAAATATTTTGGAATGTGTAGTATCCTTGAATCATCCAAATTTGATAAGGCCTCAAGTACCTCAGACTGATAAAAATCCGTAGCTGACTGTATTGACTTTACAAACATGTAATATACATGTTTCAGGATCTAGCTTTACCTTAATTAAACAATAGAGAAACACATATGACTCTTCTTATAATAAAAATACTATATTTACATCTTCAAAATTGATGTATTAGTAAGCACATGTGTTAGCAAATTCTGTATTAGGTACTTCTGCTCCTATAAGTGTTGATACTAAAACTCAAGCTTTTTTTTTCTTCTTTTTAACTTTCTAAATACATTCTGTATCTCAGAAATAACATATCTGCATAGTAGACTTTTTCCCCTCCCTTTTCATAAACCAGCAGCACTTACAGTATTACATCTAAATAATTCATAACCAAAAATAGGATCTATCTTAAAGATAAGCTTGCTTTTTATTTCCTTTTTCAGTAAGTCAAATAGAGCAACCGTAGTGCAATTGGGAAATGAAATGTAGTTCTTATATGTTTTTGATAAAGCTGTGCAAATGCTGATTATTTTATAAAACAACTCTTTTGTGGTTGCCACATGACTATTAAAGTATTTGCCTTATTTCACCAAATATTTAATAAAAATTATTTCCTTCAAACAGCTTTGTTCCAATCATGTAAAAACGTATTAGTATATCATCAAGTTATTTAATCCTAATTCAAACTTGTGATGCTACCATATGAAAGCATATAGCTGATCATAAATTGGTATAAATCTTTCCTGTAAAGTAATGGCTACTTTGATAAAAAGAAACTTTGGTCAGCAATTTGGGTTCCCCTACCCCTTTTTTAAAATGATATTAGCTTGGATCCTGGTAACAATCTTTTGACAATGTTAGCACTGTTTTAATAAGGAATGTCTCAAGCAAATGCAAAGGTAGGAAGAAATTTTCTTAGTTCTCATGAGGTATTTACAGCAAATATTTTCTGAAAATCCTTCCGTGGATGGTATTTCTTAAGTTGTTTTATATTTGTCATAAGTACTGGATGTAGTTCCTTGAAATTGTCATTATATGTATTTTAGTATGGTTTCAAATACCTTCTCAGTGGTATAAATTCATCAGCAAATACTAACTGCATCTGCTTTATAATATAGACAAAATTAAAGTTGGGGCAATAATCATTTTAGCATAAACTGTGTTTTCCAGGACACTCATGTGGCTTACCTCCTACTCCAAATACAAAACAAACACTATTTTATTAATGTAGCCCAATTCCCATTTATAATAATTATGTTGTGTAATATTTTTAAACGATTAAGGCATAAAATATGGAAGCTTTTGGAAAAATTACTCAGTATTCATTATTATTGACACCATTGAATAAACTGCCACTCAGTTTTAGAACAAAAAAAAAAGAAAAAAAAAGAAAACACCAACAAACACAGAGCATGTAGGAAGACCTGGGATTGAGATAGCCACAACACACCAGATATTTTTGTTTTCACCCAGGAGTATCTGGACAAATTGTTTGGTTTTGGGAGAAATTTAACCAAAAAATCAAAGTCAAAGTGGTTTTGGAGAAAAGCACAATCTTTCTGTTCATCAAATGCATCCAATGTCATGTTTACAAAAACAAATATCATGTTTTCTCAGGTTTCTGAAGCTTTCTGCCTAGAATCTCGAATGTGTGGAGGATTTGACTCCAGGTGGAACCAATTGGCGTTTGCTGGCAGAAAAAAAAAAAAGTGTTATGCTAAAATGCATTCAAAAACTTAAAGTCCATAGAGAATGTCCAGAAAACACAAACAAACACAGAGGCTGCAGCAACATCTTGGAATGAGATAGCCACAACACACCAGATATTTCTGCTTTCATCCCGGGAAATCCTGAAAATTTGTTGTGGTTTTCTGGTGAAATTTAACCAAAAATTCACCGTGAAAGTGGATTTGGAGAAAAACGCAATCTTTCTGTTCGGCAACTGCATCCAATGTCATGTTTACAAACACAAATATCATGTTTTCTCAGGTCTCTGAAGCTTTCTGCCTAGAAAACTCGAATGTGTGGAGGATTTGAATAGATGTGGTAACAATTAGAGTTTCCCAGCAGAAAACAAAAATTTACATGCTAAAATGCATTCAAAACCGTAAAGTCCATAAAGAAGGTACAGAAAACACAAACAAACACAGAGACTGTAGCGAGATCTCGGATTGAGATAGCCACAACATACCAGATATATCTGCTTTCATCCCGGAAAATCCTGACAAATTGTTGTGGAATTTGGGTGAAATTAAAAAAATAATAAATAAAACACAATCAAAGTGGTTTTGCAAAAAAGAAAAATCTTTCTTTTCGGCAAGTGGATCCAATGTCATGTTTACAAACACAAATATGTTTTCTCAGGTTTCTGAAGCTTTCTGCCTAAAAAACTCGAATGTGTCGAGGATTTGACTCCATGTGGAACCAATTACCGTCTGTGAGCAGAAAATAAAAAGTGTCATGCTAAAATGCATTCAAAACCAAAGATAGTAGACAATGTCCAGAAAACACAAACAAACACAGAGGCTGTAGCAAGATCTGGGATTGAGATAGCCACAACACACCTGATATTTCTGCATACATCCCAGCATATCCGGACAAATTGTTGTGCAATTCAGGTGAAATTTAACCAAAAAATCACCGTCAAAGTGGTTTGGGAGAAAAGCACAATCTTTCTTTTCGGCAAATGCATCCCATGTCATGTTTACAAACACAAATATCATGTTTAATCTGGTTTCGGAAGCTCGCTGCCTAGGAAACTCCAATGTGTGGAGGATTAGACTCCATGTGGAACCAATTAGCGTTTGCCAGCAGAAAACAAAAAGTGTCATGCTAAAATGCAATCAAAATTGTAAGGTCCCACGAAAATGTCTAGAAAACACAAACAAACGCAGAGCTTGTAGTAAGATCTGGAATTGAGATAGCTACAACACACCAGATATTTCTGCTTTCATCCAGTAGTATCTGGACAAATTATTGTGGTTTTTGGGTGAAATTTAACCAAAAAATCAGAGTCAAAGTGGTTTTGGAGAAAAGCACAATCTTTCTGTTTAGCAAATGCATGGCATGTCATGTTTACAAACACAAATATCATGTTTTCTAGGGTTTCTGAAGCCTTCTGCCTAGATATCGCGAATGTGTGGAGGATTTGACTCCATGTGGAACCAATTAGTGTTTGCCAACAGAAAACAAAAACTTATATGCTAAAATGCATGCAAAACTGTAAAGTCCGTAGAAAATCTCCACAATACACAAACAAACACAGAGGCTGTAGCAAGATCTGGGATTGAGATAGCCACAACACACCAGATATTTTTGTTTTCAACCAGGAGTATCTGGCCAAATTGTTGTGGTTTTCCTGTGAAATTAAACCAAAAAATCTACGTGAAAGTGGTTTTGGAGTAAACCACAATCTTTCTGTTCAGCAAAAGCATCCCACGTCATGTTTAAAACACAAATATCATGTTTTCTTGTGTTTCTGAAGATTTTTTTCTAGAAAACTCGAATGTGTGGAGGATTTGACCCTCTGTGGAAACAATTATCGTTAGCCGGCAGAAAACAAAAACTTACATGCTAAAATGCATTCAAAACCGTCAAGTCCATAGAGAATGTCCAGAAAACACAAACAAACACAGAGGCTGTAGCAACATCTTGGAATGAGATAGCCACAACACACCAGATATTTCTGCTTTCATCCCGGGAAATCCTGAAAATTTGTTGTGGTTTTCTGGTGAAATTTAACCAAAAATTCACCGTGAAAGTGGATTTGGAGAAAAACGCAATCTTTCTGTTCGGCAACTGCATCCA